CGCCCCCGCCGCTGGCCAGGGGCGCACGTGGGAGGGTCCCGCTCTGAAAACAAACCGTCCGGGTCGCCCGGGGCAACCGGGCGGGGCACCGGCCGCTGGCCACCCGCAACCCGCCGAGGCAGGAGCTGCAGGCTCGTGCTCCCTCGCCAGTTCGACGCCTGCGAGGCCGCCGGTTACCAGGCCGACCCGCTCGCGCCCCCGCTAGAAAAGATCACCTGGAACTACTTAGGGGCTAGCAGTCTGTGGGCTTCCCCCAGGCTCTGCACCACCACACCTAGGAGGGCTGTTGCTTCAGTGCACCCTCCGCCCCCTGCGATAGCAGGGACGGGATCCTGGCCCAGGGTCAGTCATCTGCAAAGCTGTAAGGGTGGGAGGTGGGCTAGGACGTTCAGGCTCTTCCTGCAAGATGGCTAGCCCGGGGCTCCCCTGAGACCTGGGGGCCGGCCCTCTTGCTCCTTGGCTTCAGATCACCGTCCACTCCTGATTCTGAGTCTGATCTGTGGTTTCTGGAATGATGCGAGGACCCGGAGTGTCTTCCCTTCCCCCAATCCCTGCCCCTTGGGGAGAGAAATTGAAAATGACATCTCCACTCCACATTCTCCCACCCCTCTCCGTTACTGACCTGATTTCTTATCATAAAAGGTATTTTTGTTTGCTTGTTTGTTTTTGTTTTTTAACTTAAAAAAAATAAAGTATCGCCTAAGAAACTGAATTAGCTGGAAGTGGTGGTGCATGTCTATAATTCCAGACACTTGGAAGGCTGAGGCAGGAGGATTGAGAGTTCAAAGCCAGCCTCGGCAACTTAACAAGGCCCTGTGCAACTCAGTGAGACCCTGTCTCTATAAAGAAAATATTTTAAAAATATATATTAAAAGGGCCAAGGATGTGTCCCAATGGTTTAGCACCCCTGGGTTCAATCTCAGGAAAGAAAGAAAGGAAGAAAGTTACCGTTCACCCAAAGAATATCTCAAACTAACCTTCTCCCTCCTCCTTGCCCTTTCCTGACATTTCTCCTAGAGGATCAATTGTGAGGCAGACTGGCCTTCATGCTGTTACTGATTTCTAGTTCATACCACTGTGGTCAGGAAATATACTTGACTTGGATTTACTAAGCCTTGTTTTATGCCCTAACATGCAATCTACCTTGGAGAATGTTCCATGTGCTCTTGAGAAGAATGTATGTCCACCAGCCACTTCAGTAAATAGTCGCTTCATTATTATGAGAGAGGTATTTAGACTGGGCAGTTAATTTCTCTTTAAAAAAACATCCGGGAATCTGTTTGGGCATTTTAATGTCTGGGAGAAAGCTTATAAAGTAATACCAATTTGTTCCTGCCCCCCACAAAAAAGGATTGCTGTAAAACTCTCCCTAATGATGCCTGAAATTCCCCTAACAGTTCATTTGTATCAATGAAATAGTGTCCTCTTAATATCCAATTCTCAGGGATAGTCAGTGGGACGAAAGTTGTGCAGAACATGGGGGTGGGAAACTGCAGATAGAAGAGGAAAAAAGAGTTGGGGGTAGCAGAGAACACAAATTAGAATTTTCCCAGGGTCAGACTAGGTACAGCATTTCATGATCTTTTATCACTAATACTTATCAGAACTAACCAGGCAAAAGTTAGAGGTTGGGGGAATAGAAAGATAATGTGAGAGATATACCCTCCTTCCCTTTGGGGTCTTAGTTAATCACTGATTTTGGTTTAATGATTTACTCAGTCCTTTTACATTGCAAATCCATATGCTCTGAACACAAGCCTAGCTATTCAGTAGGCAAGGTAGGTGTTATATTGGACCATTTAATAGGTGAGCAAATGGGATCTGAGAGATTTCAGGGAGTAAGCAAGAATCACAAGGTAAGAAGGTCTTGGCTCTTGATCACATACTTTTTCTTAATTCACACCATCTGCCTGACTCTGAGAAACCTACATGCAAGAAAATAAAACTAACATTTAATGGCATGGTAAGAACCAGGGCTGGGGTACAAACAAGGTCTACTGGAGGTCACATAGAGGGGGGAGCGATCATCCAGGTGTGTTTGGATCAGTTCAAGCCCAGCCTTTGGCCAGTACTGCAAGATTCTGTAACTCACTTGGTCTTCTGTCCAGCCAAACTCTCCCTCAACCTCCAGGACCCTGGCTGAAATTGGATTTCCTACATATGTCAATTATTTAGCAGGAATGTTCCTCCTTGGTAATCTAACACCTTTACCCTATTAAAGTGCACATACCTCAAAAGACCCATAAGGCAAGTATTTCTCCAGCAACTCAAAAACAGAAGTAAAAGACGTGTTTCTGTTCACACTATAGTAATCCCAAAGCTGTCAAGCCTACGGCTCCTTTTTTATACTAAGAGGTCATGTGATTTTTATCTTCTATTCATAATATATCCATGTATTTTTAATACTATCCATGTTTAATACAAATATGCAAAGCATATTTGAGGGGGAGATTTCCCTTCTCAAATCTTTGAATAGGATTATTTTTCTAGAGAGAAGGGCTTCCTATACTCACTGTCATGCTTCTGTACCGGGTGGGTACCTATACCCCAGTTTGAAAAGCAATCTGTGAGAATTTCAAGCCTGCAACTAGAATTTTCTACTGTTCAACCATTCCCCATACATGTGAGCTTAAACCCAATCCCAATAGTATGATTTATTCTCATTTGTCAAATTCTATTCTGTGAACACTACCCCTCAAAACCAAATTATACAGAAAGTCTGACCTGCAAAGACATCATGAAAGAGAGGTGGATAGATAAAAGATGTACAAGATATAGAATCGCAGATTTTAAGAGAAATCCTGGATACAGATCTGCTAGCTAAAACAAAAAGTAAAAACATCTCATTTTACAAAGACATATCTTATGCTCAGTGAGGTTAAATGACTTGGCTAAGGTCACCACCAGTTTATGGAAAATTCAGTAGTAGAGCCCATATCACAGTCTGTTTACTCCGTAATGTATAGAGCAATGCAAGAGTCAAAGCTAATGCTGTAAATAAATATTTACATTTCCTAAAGAAAAAAATGTAAATGATAGGTCGTGAGATGGAAAAAGTAAGGGATGGAGTTAAATAGAGGCCTAGACTACAAGCAGAGTAGAGTACACTGGAAGATAAACAGCCAACTAAAGTGGTAGGGATGTGTAAATACAGGGTGGGACATTTAAATGGAACCATTTGGAGTCATGTAAACTGGGATTGACTTCACTATGGCTTCCCTAACGGTACAGAACCACATGTCAAAACTATTTGCTTTAGTCGCTTGACAAATGTGTTTTCTTCACAAGACCCCAAGTGGAGTCTGAGAAGGGTGGAGGTAATCTTGGGGCCGTCTGGAGGTGGCTCTTTGAAGCCTAAAGCAAAGTGTGTGTGATGGATGGGGAAACCATCACAAATCTTACGGGAAAGGAGGCTCAGAGTAGAGGACAAAGAAGATTCTGGGAGCTGTGTTTGTTGCCAACTTCTCCAGCGGCATCTTAACATGCTCTGTTCCTTCCTGCCTCAGGGTCTTTGCACATACTGGTCCTTCCATCTAGCGTGCTTCTCACTGCTCAAACAAAGCCCCTTCACCTCCCTGACTCCTTCTCATCCTGAAGATCTAACTTTATAAGGCCTGACTTCCTCAGAGAAACTTCCATGGCTCCCCGTTAGCTTTTCTCAACACCCTGTACTTTTTCTTCATAGCATTCAACACATTTCGGTATCACGTTTGTTTGCACGAGTAACCTTTGTGGAAATATCTAGCTCTCTCAGGAGAAAAGGAATGACATCTAGGGTCCTGTGACACTGAGGTATCCCCTGAACCGGAAGGTGGCAGTAGGGGGCAGTGGTACCACGGGAGAAATCTTGGATGAAGACGTTTCTCTCTCGTTCTCTTTGCAGAGCAACCCGGGGTCAGCAGCAGTCACAAAAACTGACTTCAAAAGTCCTCCTGAGAGCTGCATCTTTGGAGTCCCCAAAACAATCGTGCCTTGTGCCCTGGGACACGGCGCGAGTTACACACTTAAAGCAGTTTCCACAGAACCGCATTCAGTTGGTTTTAAACTCTGGGGAAAGCTGGCAGCCTCTTTGTGGGTTTTTTAAAAAACTAGTTAGAGGGACAATTAAACCTTTATGGGCCCCAGAATGTACCTATGCAGACATAAATGAGGATCATTCTTCAACACCAGAGAATCCACCTTCTGGCAACAGATATATTTTTTTCTGCCGTCACTGGACAGAGTTGAGCTCACATCTGAGAACCTTTTTTGATTCGGGCAGGTGACAGGGGTCAGCGTAAGCAGAATGAGAACTTTGACCCTCAGTTTGGCACAGGCCCTTTCTCTAAATGGACACATGGCAGGCCCAGGGCTTAGCTGGTCTTAAATAAATCACACAAGCTCTACGAGGAGCTTTGGGCCAAGAAAACTCATCCTGTTCCTTCCTTGTGTTACTTTGGGCCAAAATGGTCCATTTGTCAAAGAGTCCTGAGTCCTCTTACAACACAATACAATGCATTCACGGATTTACAGCGCCGTGTCCTTGAATGGTCTGCGTGATTTTTAAAAATCCAATAATATTAAATACCCTAAGGAGCTCTGTTCTTAAAGGAACTTTGGAGTAAACTCTTTTGTTGAGTGAAGCCGTCTTTTGTAAGGCAAATAATCAACCACCAAATGGTTTTCGAAATCTGAAATTTCTCACTGGAGATTTTTCTTAAAACGAAGCCCACAAGAGATGGTGGCCTGTACTTTTTCCTTTATTTTTTTCTGATTTTTGGTAAAGACAAGCCTCTTCTGATTAGACAGTATTGGGTAGGGATGAAGGAATTTTGAACACTCAAGAAAATAAAATGA